GGAAGTGGCGCTGTGGCTCAAGTGGTAGAGCGCTCGCCTTGAGCTGAAGAGCTGAGGGACAGCGCCAGGCCCTGAGTTCAGGCCCATGACCGACAAAAAAAAAAAACAGGAGTGCAGCTGTGGCTCAAGTGGTAGAGAGCTTGCCAGGAAGACAAAGGCTCCAGAATAGAACCCAGGCCCCGAGTTCAAGCCCCAGGACCAACAATTAACACATACATAAATAGAACATTGGGTTGCATTGGCTGGTGGGGGACAGACTCATGTGGCAGCCCCGGCCACCTCTGGACTCGGCCACCCACCGGCCTCAGCCTGGCTGGTAGCTGGGACTACAGGCATGAGCCACCACGCCTGGCCGAAGAGGTAGAGGTTGGTTTTAGAGAAAAGCTGAAGCGGGGGAGGGGTCGGCGAGGAAGACTGGTGTGAGGAAGGTTCTGGGTTGAGCTGAGCAGCAGCACAAAAGAAGTTGGGGTGTGTCTCTCCAGGGGGCCACCTGGCCTGGCCAGAGACCAAACCACTTGGAGCCCAGCATGTGGGGGGTTCAGGTGAAGGGAATTCAGCCCTAACCCCTGGCCCCTTTCCCAGAAGTTGCGGCCACGCACTCACGCCGCCTCAGGCTGTGGAATGTGTCCCAGGAGGGCACCGGCTTTCTTGAACTCTGGGCCTGGGTGCTGTCCTCTAGGCGGGCGCTCTACCACTTGAGCCACAGCGCCACTGCTGGTTTTCTGGTGGTTCATTGGAGATCAGAGTCTCGTGGACTTGCCTGCCCGGGCTGGCTTTGAGCCTCGATCCTCAGATCTCAGCCTCCTGAGTAGCTGGGATGACAGGCGTGCGCCACGGTGCCCGGCTCTCCTGAATCTTTTTATGCCTCAGTCATATGGTCAGAGAAGGTTGTGCCTTTTGGCCTCCAATCGTGATCCTCCTACGCCCCCCTCCTGAGCTGCTGAGAGCCAGACCCAGCTAGGAGCTGCACCGCACACAGAGCACAGGGCACTGGGGCCGACCCCCTCCCTCCCCCCCCGGCCCCCGCCGATGGCCGAGGCGCCCCGCTATGGGAATTTTTTTTTTACCGGTTTTCTTTTCCTTGGCAGGGAGGGAGTGGAGCTGTGGCCCAGGCGGTAGAGCGCCAGCCTTGAGCAGGAAGGCTCAGGGACCGCGCCCAGGCCACGTTGAAGCAGGGGGCTCTGTGCAGACCCAGGCCCTCGGGACGCTCTCCAGGAGCCCCTGCTGCCTTCCCCTGCCCCCTGGGACACCGGGCACCCACAGGCTGGCGGGGACAGCTGCCAGCCTCCCCCCTCCCCCCATGACTCAGAACGCCCCGGAAATGTGGCCAGGGAGCCTGCACCCAGGCCCCAGCGCTGCTCCCCTAGAGGCCAACTTGGGGTCAGGGGTGAAATCAGGATTGACTGGGCCCAGCGTGTTGTAGTAGGCGGGGTAGGAGTTTGTTCATTGGGTCTGCACCTGATTATTTCCTTAATGAAAGTTCTCAGCCCCACTGAAAGTTCTGGAAAAGTGGCCATCCGCCTGCCCCGCCTGGGAGCCCCAGTCACATTCCCTCCCCAGCCCTGGGGCGCGCTGCACGCCGCGACGGGCAGAAACTGCCCAGGAAGCCAGGGGCAGGCATCTTGTGGCAGCAGGGCTGGCCTTGCTCTCCAGCTGGTCTGGGGCCTCAGAGCTCAGCCTCCTGGGTGGCAGGGACTACGGGCCTGAGCCCCCAGCCACAGTCTTTGTTATTGATACAGGGTTTGTGTCTCAGTCTGGCCTTGAACTCCCCCTCCTCCCACTTCAGCCTCCAGACCGCTGGAATTACAGGAGTGTGCCACCATGCCCGGCCGAGCGCCTGTGCCCAGCGGCGGGTGTGTGTGTGTGTGATCTTCTAGATCGGCCGCAGAGGCCTCTTCCAGCCCCTCCACGGGGCCCCTGGTGGCTGTGAACCCCGCGCTCTAGGAAGCTCTTCTCGCAGGGCTGGGCCCAGCCGTCACCCCATTTCATAGAAGAGGAAACCCAGACCCGTTGTGTGGGAACTGGGGGCCACCCGGAAGCCACAGGGTGCCAAGCTGGGGGCAGGGACCAGCCAGAGCCGCCCGGCCGCGGTCCACAGAGCACCCAGTGCGGCCGCGCATGCCCGCCGTCCCGGCGACTCAGGGAACGGCCCGCAGCCTGCGGCCAGCCCCGGGCGGGAAGGCCCACGGACGCTGCCCTCTCGCGGACCAGCAAACATGGAAGTGGAGCTGAGGCTCGAGTGGACAGCACCGGCCTTGAGTGGGCAAAGCGCGGAGGCCGCGGCGGGGCTCGGCCCCCGTGCGAACCCCGCGCTGAGGGGAGAATCCGCTCCCGGAGAGGAGGTGTGCGCACCCCACGCTCCCAGCACGTGTGGAGGCCAGGACCCCGAGAGCCGGCCCCCCAGCGCCTCGCCCCCCACACTCATGTCTCCCGGGGCCATGTCTGGGCGGCGAGTTCAAAGCCCAGGCCTCTATCTAGAAAAGAATCACTGAGTCATGGCACATTGCACTGTGGCCTTTTGAGGAACTGCCCACAGCCTGCGCCCCGCCCGCCCCCCCACTTCCACCCAGTCCTGGGGGGCTCCCAGGACCCCGAATCATGGCCGTGGAGGGTAACAGGGCCAGTCAATGCCTTCTGGTGGGTGGTAGCTTCTAGACAGGGCCCGTGTCAGGGAAACAGCTGAGGCCCCACCTGTAACACCAGCGCTTGGGGGGCTGAGGTGGGGACCCCAAGCTCCCGGCCAGCCTGGGCTGTGCAGGGGGAACCCCATCTCAACACAATGAGCAGCAAGCTGGGCGCCCGTGCCTCCACCTGTCACCCCGGCTACTCAGGAGCTGAGTCCTGAGGACCGCGGTTCAAAGTCAGCCTGGGCAGCAGAGTCCCTAAGGCTCATCTCCAGTGAACCCCCAGAAAGCCCCGTCCGCCTGTCACTTCCTTCTGCACTGAGCACCCCGTTTTCCAGACAAGGAAACTGAGGCTCAGGGCTGGGGGGCGGCAGGGCAGCGGGTGGCGGTGAGGAGGAGGGTGGTGGGGGTGGCCCTGGGACGGGCCCCCTCAGCATGGGGGTGTCAGGGCCCCCACGCCGCCCCGCGGGAAGCACGGGCCCCCTAGCCACGCCCGATCGGGGGGGCAGAGGTGCGGGCGGGCCGGGCCCGGGCCTGGGCGCTCCCACTTGAGCCACGGCCCGTTTCCAGCTTTTTGCCGCTTCTGAAGCTGACTACAGGAGGGCGCGGGAGGCTCGGCCGCCGCCCGCATTCCCCTCCGGGGTCCCGGGCTGCGGGGC